CCATGCATTTTCTGGGCCTGCCCTCCCAGGGCCTCATTCAGTAGGGTGTCAGGGTCCCCAAACCGGGATGGCATGCAAATCAGCATTGGCAGCAGTGCCCTGCACCACCTCCTGGGTCTGCCCTGCCGTCAGCGTGTTCTGCCGTGCCTGACAAAACCACAGCATTGCTGCCCAGGCCAGCCCATGCATTTTCTGGGCCTGCCCTCCCAGGGCCTCATTCAGTAGGGTGTCAGGGTCCCCAAACCGGGATGGCATGCAAATCAGCATTGGCAGCAGTGCCCTGCACCACCTCCTGGGTCTGCCCTGCCGTCAGCGTGTTCTGCTGTGCCTGACAAAACCACAGCATTGCTGCCCAGGCCAGCCCATGCATTTTCTGGGCCTGCTGAGTGCGACGGGGGCGAGCTGGCGGTCTTCTTGTTGCGATGGATTCATTGATATTACACTCTGCCAGCGCAATGCAACCATAAACTGCACTCTGGCGGCCAGGCAGTGGGCGGCGCTGCCGTGCGGCACATAGCAGCCACCTGGCCCAGAGATCCACGGGTGGGTGGGCCGGGCTGGTGAAGGTAGCGGCCAGTCAGCCAGCCTAATGGATTCCCTCGCCCCGCGTACAAGTTGTCGGCGGCAAGGCCAACCAGGCTCACCGTCAGCTGCTCTCCGGCTTGGCCGGCAGGCCAAGCATTTGACGCACCGATTCTGCCTTGTCTGAGCGGCCCAGGCAAGCAAAGCTCTTCTTCCTTGCCTTGCCCACCTGCAACAGCAGGGCAGCATCGGCAACACAGCACTGAGAGGCTTGGCAACCAACCCTTGCGGCCCTACCAATCCCCCCAGCCAACCGCGCCGCGCATGCAACCCCGCACCTGCCGTGCCTCCAGGCACTGGTCCACCAGCTTGGCCGCCTGGATGGGGGTGCACTGCTCCCTCTTCGCCACCTCCTCCACTAGCTGCATCGCCCTCACAAACTGGTGCCAGGTCCTGCGTCGGCCTGACCGCCATGACTGTTGCGGGCCCAGCTCGCCGCGCTGGCTGGCCTGCTCCTGCTCTTCCTCCCTGTCCTTCCACGCCGGGTAGCCGTTGTGGCCCTCATAGTACAGGGTGGCGGCCTGCATGCAAGGTTCAAAGAAGGGAAGAGTTGCTCACAGGGCAGGTGCGGCAGCGCCAACGGCATCGGCTGCCGCAGCGCAGCGGCAGCAGGGCGGGCGGCACAGGCTTACCCATGTGGCGCTCGGCACCAAGCTCAGGCCGTTGCGGGGCAGGTTGCAGTCGAGGCCAGCCCACCTGCTGACAAACGAGCCCCTTGCTGAGGCGCTTGCCGCTGCCGCAGGTGCCGCTGCCGCAGTTGCGTAGCCCGCTGCGCTGCGTGCTCGTGCCATTGTGCCTGTGCCAGAACTGGCAGAGGTGGCGTACCCGAGTGTGAACACGCCCTTGCTGCCTGCGCTCAGGCTCACGCTGTCGTCCTGCTGCGCTGCCGCCGCGGCGCGGTGCAAGGCGGGGGGGCCGCTCACGCACACCTCTGCCGTCAGCAACAACAGCTGTCGCTGCAGGCTTTGCTGCTGCGCCATCAGCTGCTGCAGCAACGCGACGGGCACTTCAACCGTGTTGTCGCCTGGCTGATCTGCCACTGCCACTGCTGCTGCCGCTGCTGCCTCCACCGGCGTCATGCCTGCCGCCGCTGCGGGCGTGGGCATGAGCACAGCCGCTGCTGCCGCCACCGGCGTCATGCCTGCCGCCGCTGCTGGCGTGGGCATGACCGCTGCCGCCCCTGCCGCCGGTGCGGGCGTGCATCCTGCTGCTGTGCCGGCGGCCTCCTGCTGCTCCTGCCGCTGGGCCTCTGCAGCATGGAGGAGGCAAAGAAGGGGGGGCCGGGGATGGAACTGAGGAGGGCAGGCTGACCGTGGGAGGGATGCACCCGCCCGCAGCGCTAGCGGCAGCGCCACATCTCACCCTCCATGCTGAGGGCAACCAGGGCAAGCTGGTCCAGGTCCACCTCGCTAGCCGTCTGCTCCTCCCGGTCCAGTTGCTGGACATCCGCCCAGGCGTCGCCGCGTTGCGCCGCTGCTATGCCGCGGCGCGCTGCAGCCTGCCACGCGCCGAGCCGGGCAGCGCGCTGCCGCATCACCTCATCATCGGGCAGCCGGTCCTCGCACAACACTGTTGCGGTGGCTTGCAGGCTCTTCCCCACCTCAGCGGGGAGCTGGCCGCCGGTCAGGCTGGCTAGCATGGCGCGAGTCTGCGCTCCCAGCCCCTTGGAGATTCTGTCAAGCTTGTCGTCCTGGCTGGGCGTGCGCTGCGCCGCGTACACCTGCATGAGGATGGGCAGGCATGCAGGATGGGCAAGCATGCAGGATGGGCAAGCAGGTTGTTTGCACGCCTGGGCGGTCTTGTCTCCACGCACCCACAATGCAGGGCAATGCACAATCTGACCAGAGCGCACCCCCTTCATTTGCTTCAGCGAGAACTCGTTCAGCAACGCCTTGAAGCGTGGCTTCTGCATGAGCCACGCAAACACTGGGTGCTCTGGGTAGCGCGGGGCCAGCACCAGAGCGCTCTGCAAGCATTGCGAGGCAGGGGTTGGTGAGGGGTTTGGTGGTGCCGGGTTGTGCGGGCCAAGCAGGTGGCGCCATCTGCCTGCCTCGCTCCACCTGCCTGCAAATTCAATGGCTGCCTGCAAATCCACCTGAATCAGAGTGATGCGCAAGGCCTGCAGGCGGATGGCCAGGTTGGCTGCGGACTTGGGCACTGGCTGGTGCGCCGCCACCAGCTACCGGGCCACAGCAAGAGCGGAGCTGGCAGGACGGGTCGACAGGGACACGTCCGCACGGCATGTGACCCCCCCCCCCCCCCC